GTTTCCCACCTTCTCCAGGCTATTTCAGCCCCTCCTCTTTTACCGACGTTCTGGATGCTTTGTGGGAGGGAAGCTCAGCACAAGACTGAGTGAAGCTGCACAGGGACTGCCACGCTCCCCACCCCACCCCCATCAGTCCTGACACTGAGACTGGGAACAAGAAAGGTCTCTATGTCCAAGAGACACTAGACAAAGGTAGCCAACTTCTTCCTCATCCAGAGAAACAGAAAGTTACGCTAAGGAACACACAAGCTAGATTGCTCTGGTTTGACTAAAAGACAGAGAGGTCAAGCAACGGTAACTCGGAGGGGCTGAAGAAAATGTGAAGAAAAAGTACAAGATCGGCTAAAGATTAGAGTTGGTTGGCCAAAGACAACCAAGCCAGGGGCAGGGTGGTACTGCAAGCTTTTCTGTCTGTCTGGAAGGGTAGATAGAGGAGAGGTGACACAGGAGGCTCCTGCTGGGGCTGCAGCTGCCTGCAGCTGGGCTGGGAGGAGGAAGCTAGGGGAGACGTGAGGTCAGTGTGGGACTGGGACCAGGCCAAGGGCTCAGACTCAGACTCTTTCTTCCCCTTCTCAGCATCAGCAGGGAAGAGACCTCATTCTTGGCCTTAAAAAAAAAAGCATCTTTATTTCTTTATTCCCAGCAGAGGCAGGCATATCTCTGAGTTGGAGGTCAGCCTGTCTACAAAGCAAGTTGCAGGACAGCCAGGACTACACAGAGAAAGAAATAACAAAAACAAAAATCCCACACTGAGGGACTCTCCATCTCTGGGTTTCTGCAGAAAGGGTTTTGTACTACAGTAGGTAGGTAGGGTAAGAGGAGAGAGTTGATGCTGTTTAACTAGGGATTGCAGCGGGGGAAGAAAAGACAATTGTGGCTGAGCAGGGCATAGAGGGTTGAGAATGTTACTAAGTCTGTCCCATGCTCATCCTGACACCCAGGGTGTTCCACAAAGGGTGAGCCCCAGAGACAGGACAGCTCTAGCTTGGGGAGCCAAGATGCCCCTCCCCCACCCAGCAGCACAGAGGAAGGCTCACACACTAGCTTCTCTCTGCCTGGCAGCAGCTCAGCAACCTCTGGGCCCCATGAAAGGCCTGTGAAGTGGCACTTCCTTTGCCTTTGCTCACTTCACACGAGGCTGTGAATGCCAACCTCGCAATCCTGTCTCCCCCACTTAAAAACATAGAGAAACCCAGGGCTTCCCAGTCCTTTTAGTGTGCCACGCAAGGTCTGAGGGGGTTTCCACCAGGGAAAAAACATCAGGGAGGAAATGCCACATCTATTTTCCACTGTCAGTAGGCACAGCACTAGGGCAGTGGACAGGGTATACACCCCCATCCTGGAGTCCCGCAACAAGATCCCAGCATCACTGCCTTCTTATCTCTCAACCTACAGCAATCTTTGTACTTTGCATGAAGAGCAACAATTCTGCCCTGGGCAGATCAAGGCTGATGAGAAAGGAAGGCTGAGTCTGAGGCACTGCTATGTCTCTTTAGAGGAGGGCCAGTCAAACTTATCAGTGTTCACTGTGCCCTTTGCAGGTAGAAAAAAATGCAAATTGTTTTTTCCTTGTTTTTAGGTTTTCTTTTCTTTTCTTTTTAAAGACGGTCTCACTAAATCACCCTGGCTGGCCTGGCTTCTACCTCCCAAGCACTGGGACCTATTTTTGAAATAGAGTCAAGAGAGAATAAGGACCTGGCTCTCCTAACCTCTGGCCTGATGTTACTCTTACTCTCACAAAACTGAGAAGGTGAAGACTGATGGTTAGTCTGATCTTTGACTTCATTCAAGATGTCCCTAGCGTGGTTTGCTCCTTAGTAATAGGTCAGAAGGCTGGAGAGATGGCTGAGTAGGTTTAAAAGCACTTGTTCTTACAGAGGACCCAGATTTGATTCTCAGCAACCACATGGTGGCTCACAGGTCCATAGAGTTCCAGTTCCAGGGGATCCAACACCCTCCACAGGCACCAGGCATAGACGTGGTACATGTACACATATGTAGGCAAAACACCTATATACATAAACAAATCTAAAATAAATAAATAAGTGGGCCAAACGAGTCAGGTTGACATCTGTCTACACCCTTTAGTTTTTAAGCTCCCAAGCCTCCCCAGCCCGGCCCACCTGAGCACTCATGGGGGCAGCACTAACAGGGTGCACTGCACAGCCGGCCACCCTGCTCCTGCCCAAGCTGAGGAGCTCTGAGAAGCTCCTCCTCTGGCTTTCGGCTCCTGGGGACATGCCCCCCCCCCCCCCCCGCCCCATGTGAGATGAGGACAAAAGAGGAAGCTGGACCCTGGACAGGAAAACCAGTCTGATCTGGGGAGGTGGCCCAGGCTTTGTCTTTGGTTTCCCTTAGAAGATCTTCTCACAGACCCCTACAACCTTTAGGATCGATGGTCCAGGAAGGGACATAGGCACCCTCCTTCTTCCCACTTCTCCAGCTACTATAGCAGCATCGTCCTGAATGCCTGGGTGCCCACAGCCACTCCTATCTTCCAGCTCCTAATCCCCTATACACTTTCAGACATCTCATCTGCCTTAACATCTCCCCTGCAGCAATTCTCCAAAGCCCAGATTGCTAAACAGGACGTGCAACAATGTCACCCTCTGCCTCTTCTTACCCATACTTCTGTAGTCAAAGCCTCCCACCATGCTATGTTTCCATTTAGATCCCTCCTATCCTGGTCATATTTTTCTTGCAATTAGCTTAAACTTCCAATGGAGCAGACCTTGCCTAAGAGAAAAATCCTGCTACTTCTATTCTATCTGTGCCCTCAGAGCCCTGTGGATTGCTGCATTATAGCGAATACTAAATTAAGCACTGGTTTGTCAAGCTGGGAATCAGGGCTCCTGGGGATTTTTATTGAGCTGTGATGCTGAGAAAATGTGCTGTGTGCACATCCTTTCCTGAGTTGGGATTTAATACAGATCCCTTGGATTTCCTCCGTGGGGCCAAACCTCTGTACCCCCCAGAATGAGAGCAGGGAAGACAGGTGGAGAAGGGCCGGACTAGAAGAAACAGGTGACGGGGGAGGGACAACTGTGAGGTAAGAGGATAGGGAAAGGAAGGAGCCCAGCTCTTAAATTTAGCTTTGCTTGAAGACCCCAATCGTGGCATTTGCTCCCCTCCACTTCTCTTTTACTCTTGTGGGGAGAAGTTAGTACAGAAGAGTGCAGGGGCTGGAGACAGACAAACTCCCTGGGCACGCAATCCAAAGGCTGAGGAAAGGGATTCCAGAATGGAGACAAAAACTTACAGTGCCAAGACAGACTGTTACTTTGGAGAAATTCCTTAGAGAGAGGGAATAGGATCTTAGGTAAGAAGCAATTATCAAGGATGCTAAAGACAGAAGGTTCAGCATAACTTCCTGGCAAGGTTCTGCCGCACACCAGAAAATGGGACCCAACCCCTGCAGTCCCCAGAAAGCAACAGGGAAGAGGAACAAACCTGTTTGTCTCACACCCCTTTCCTGATCAAAAATTTAAAACCAGATCAGCCGCAGTTTTCCCTCCAGAACCTGGCCTTTGCTTAGCACAGCAAAGAGCCTGCCTCATTCTCCCCACTGGTTGGAACCAGTAAGTGCTAGGAGACAGGAGCCTTTAGGTCAGTCGCCAAGCTGAGGCTGAACTCTTTGGGGAGCACCTAAGACTCCCTGGCCTTTCTCGCTAGTCTCGCTCTTGGGCCACCCTACTCGGACTGCTACAATGCTTCCCCTGCTTAACCATAATGCCACCCGCTGCAGGTTTCCGTCGTTCTGCCGGCTTCTGCTCCGGGCTTTCTCAAGGCCGAGGGCAGTTATTTTGTCTCTAAGAGATAAAGATGTTGACACACCAGAACTTGCATATTTATCCGCGTGTGCACGTTTTCAACCCTTTAATCACCTTCTTCAGCGGGAGGCTGCAACCTGCACCTCTAAGCTAAGGAGGCGGGAAAGCGCTCGCAAACTCAAGTCTAGAACAGCTCCTAACACCAAAGCTAAAGATACGGACATAAGAAAAGATACTGTTAGGGCAGTCGGGAAAATGGAAACAAAAGGGGGATATGTGTGCGTTAGCCAGAGGCTGAGAAGAGACGGAAAGGGGGGGCAGGGCAGGGAAGTGTGAGATTAGGGCCTGGGTACATCTAGGTGGTTGGGGGGAAAGAGACCGAAGATGAATGTGGTACACACTTAGCGGGTGGAGGAAGACAGTGTGTGGAATTCGGGTGGGAGAGCAGACTAAGAGACAGCTCTCGATCATCCCTGAAAGCCAGTACTCCCAGCTGTCTCTCACAGTCCTATGCGTTGTCAGTGACTGTCGGTATCGAGACCTTTTCCTTCCTCAGGTTATCCTCAAAAAAGCAAGGCCAGACTGAGTCAGTCAGACACAACAGACATGCTCACTAAATACCTGTTGCGTTGCACAGAGATAAAGAGGTCGGCTCAGAAAAATACAGAGAAGGAGCGGGGATTCCCCACCCGTCCTCCTGAGGGCTGCAGCAACAGTGTAGCTACTGGCTCCGACCTTCCCTGGTGAAACCTTCCTCTGCATTCTCAGGCTTCAGAGGCCCCAGACACCGCCCCCCTCGCAGCCCCACAAATGTCACAACTGCAGAGCTGAGAGCGCGCCTTCTCTAGCCAGAGGCCCTCTCCTTTCACATACTACTGAACACCCCCACAACTTTTGAGGGCACCCCACCGCAGAGTCCCATCCTCACAGCTCAGCGTTTTCCCACTTCCGAGCCTCTCACGGCTGGGATCTCAAGGGTTCCTCGCGGCTTTCAGGATCCTGCGCTGTCCCTTGGATCCCACCCTCCACCCCAGCCATCAGCGCTCGACTCGAGGTGGCCGCTGTCCCCGCCCGGCCTTCCGCGCCCGCCCAACTTGCAGTGAGCGAGAACCTCCCGCCCGCGGCCTCCCTCCTGCAAACTTCCCGGCTCCCGGGCGCCCCGCCGGTCCCAGCCGGCAGCGCTCCTCTACCCAGGACCCCTGCCCCTCGGTCCGGCCCGGGCCTCACCTGGTGCCCTCCCCGCGACGGGGGAGCTGGGGGCGGCGGCGGCGGCTCTGGACTCAAGAAGGAAGTGAGAGCTGGAGGCCGGAGGAAGTGGGGGGAGTGGGGGCCGGGCCGGGGCGGGGCGCGGGGGCGGGCCGGCCGGGCCGGGGCGGACCAGGAAGTCGGCGGCCTCTCGCCCCCACCCTTCTGCAAGCTTTGCCCTCCACCCCTCGCCCTATGGCCCCTGAGACCCCTCAGGCCTGGCCTCTCCGGGTCGGGTCTCCCCGCTTTCACTCGGCATCCCACCCGAGCCGAGGCCCTCAGCTAGGCGCCGGGCGTTTGTCCTCTTCCTGCTATCTCACTCCCGCCGCTCCACCTCCGCGGGCAGGCTGAGAACCGCCTTCCGCTCAGCGCGGGGATCTGGAGGTAGCCGAGGCTGGCTAGGGGTTAGCTGGAACGGGTCAGGCTGGGGCAGTCCCCACCCCTGCCCTGAGCCTTGGGAGAGTGCCGGGTGGTGGTGATTCAGCAGTGGGAAGGTCCCAGACCCCTAGGGAGGGTGGGGAGACTGGGGGAAGGGCAGCTGCCGTCAGCACCCCGGGAAAAGACACGATCAGCAGAGACGCAGGCGGAGCTGCGCGGGCCCCAAAAACAGGATGTCGTGTCGTGGTTCCGCACCTCGCGGCTCCGCGGGGCTCTGGGGAGGGGGCGGGGCGTGGGAAGACGTGGGGCTCCTCTTGTTCCCCGAGTTCGGCCTGGCGCGCAACTGTCGGAGCGGTAGGACCGCACCCAGGCCTAAGGTCCGGCTTGGGCCCTGGAGACAGGCGATGGGCAGACTCGTGGGCGCCCCCTGGTGCTTGTAACCCAGGCCTTGGCGCCGGGCTTTGGCTGGAGAAGCCACGTTCTTTTAACAACTTTCTGGGTGCTCTACCACGTGCAGAGCTCCGCTAGGTGCAGTGGAAACAGCACGAGATGGACAGCCCTTCTTACAGAGGACTTACAAATAAAGAGGATCAGTTCTGACAAATAGTTTAACCTTTCCAAGTATCAATTTTTTTTTGTAAAATCAACAACAACAAAAAAAAATTCTCCACCCCGAGGATGTGAAAATAACAGAGTACGTGTCCATGCTACCGTACACTGTATAGAAAATGAAGCTAAGACAATCAGACTCAGGCCGCTCTATGACTGAGTGAAAGAAAAAGCGTGTTCTGAGATCCTTCAGAAACTTGTTCTCATTTCTGGACCTTGTTCCTCTTCTTTGGTCCTTGGTCCTCTCCTGTGGGAGGAGAATAGAATGTGTTAGGAGAAATTTGGGGGAGGCGGACAGAATCGGTGCATGGAAAGAGGTTTGTGAGTCCTAGAAATAACAGGGTCCTGAAGTGTACCTCACATTCTGGTTGCTTCAATGAAACCATTAATAATAATAATAATATGTTCCAAGCCAGGTGTGATAGCACACGCTTATAATCTTAGCATTCAGGAGGTGTAGACAGAAGGTTCAGAAGTTCGAGTCCAGCCTGGCCTATATGAAACCTTAACTTAAAAAGTTCTAGCCAGCCGGGCGGTGGTGGCGCACGCCTTTAATCCCAGCACTTGGGAGGCAGAGGCAGGCGGATCTCTGTGAGTTCGAGACCACCCTGGTCTACAAGAGCTAGTTCCAGGACAGGCTCCAAAACCACAGAGAAACCCTGTCTCGAAAAACCAAAAAAAAAAAAAAAAAAAAGTTCTAGCCAGACATGGTGGCACATGCCTTAAATCCCAACATTTGGGAGGTAGAGGCAGGCAGATGGCAAACTCTGTGAGTTTGAGGTCAGCCTAGTTCCAGGACAGCCAAGTCTCCACACGAAACCCTGTTTCAAAAGAATAAAAAATCCTGAAAAATACTTGAAAATTTGACTATTACTCAGTGGTAGGGAGATTGCTTGCTTATCATGTGCTTAGGCCTGTACCCCAACACCACAAACAATGGCGGGTGCATTTTAGAGTCAGCTGTGGGACACAGTGGTAGGAGCAGGGTGGTAAATACTAGAGACTGGGCTGGCTCAGTGTCTGGGGTTTGCCTCACTGTAGACCAGGAGGGAGCACTTTCCCGATACCTGTTTGATATGGAATTACTGGATTTGAAGCTACCAGAAGAGGAGGGAAAACCCCAGGACTGGGTTTCAGATGGCCTGGAAGACTCAGCCAGTCAGACTAGAAAGATTTACACCATGTCCTTAGCCATTTCTGAATCTCAGGTTCCCCTGCTGGAAAACAAGGGGCTGAAGATGACACCCTTCGGCTCTGACCTGTGATGCACTCTGGAGATCATAATTAAGTAATTGAGGCCTATGCATATAGCATATTGCTCATAGTTCCTTAATATCACTTAGGTCATCCTGTTTTGAGTTCTGGTAAATTGTATTTGTGTCTAATGTCTGTCTCCTCTACCAACTGTTAAGTCCTTTGAGGTTGTGTCTGATTCATCTCTGTGTCCACCCACTGGGCCTGTCACAGGCAGGTCTGAGCACACACTTGTGTGCAGTAAACATCTGTGGAATGAAGTGGCTTCAATAAATCACTAATATGTATGGAGTCGTTGGCATCCAGTGGTTTGGAGCTGCTCTGGTGTCACAGATGTGAGAGGGTCAATAGGCCAGAAGGGTGGAGCCATCTGGAAAGGTTCTTTTGTTGTTCTTTTGCTTTGGTTTTGAGACAGGGTTTCTCTGTGTAGCCCTGGCAGTCCTGGAACTCACTATATAGACCAGGCTGGCCTCAAACTCACAGAGATCCGCCTGCCTCTGCCTCCTGAGTTTTAGGATTAAAGGTGCGCTCCACCTCGGCCCAGCCTGGCTATGACTGCTTTAAGAGTTCGAGGCCAGCCTGGTCTATAAGAGCTAGTTCCAGGACAGGAACCAAAAACTACGGAGAAACCCTGACTCGAAAAATCTAAAAAAAAAAAAAAAAGGTGCCCATGAACGCTTGAGAGACAGCAGTCTAATTAGCAGCTAGCTCAGTAATAAAAACCTGCGCTGTGCGGCACTGCCTGGAGCGGGGCAATTACAACAGACCCGGGGAGGGGTGATGCACGCCTTTAATCGCATTGGGAGGCAGAAGCAGGTGGATCTCTCTGAGTTTGAGGCCAGCCTGGTCTACAAGAGTTAGTTCCAAGACAGGACCCAAAGCTACAGAGAAACCCTGTCTCGAAAAACCAAGTAATAATAATAATAGTAATAATAATAATGATGATTTGATTCATGTAGTTAGAGAACACTACAGGTTCTTAGTAAAACAGATCCAGACTGAAAATAATTTTAAAGGGGTTACAGTGTGCGTAGGTGTATAAGAAAGCTAGGTAAAGGTGGTGCAGGCCCTTAATCCCAGCATTTAGGAGTCAGAGGCAGGCAGATCTCTCTGAGTTTGAGGCCAGCCTAGTTTACAGGGTGAGTTCCAAGACAGCTAGGGTTATAGAGAGAAACCCCCAAAAAACAGAAGAAGAAGAAGAAGAAGAAGAAGAAGAGGAGGAAGAGGAGGAGGAGGAAATGAAAATGGATATAGATAATTATAGAAAAAAAGAAATAGTTTAAAAATAATTTTTATTTTTTTTAATTTTTTTTATTTTTTATTTTTATATTTTTTTATTTTTTTGGTTTTTCAAGGCAGGGTTTCTATGTGGTTTTGGAGCCTGTCCTGGAACAAGCTCTTGTAGACCAGGCTGGTCTCGAATTCACAGAGATCCGCCTGCCTCTGCCTTCCGAGTGCTGGGATTAAAGGCGTGCGCCACCACCGCCCGGCTAAAGTCTTTTTAAAAATATTTATTTTTTTGTTCATTGGTGTTTTATTTGTATGTATCTGTGTGAGGGTGTTGGAGACACTGTATGTAACTGGAGTTACAGTCAGTTGTGAGCTGCCATGTGGGTGCTGGAAACTGAACCTGGGTCCTCTGGAAGAGTAGCCAGTGCTCTTAAGAGCTGAGCTACCTCTCCAGCTCCTTAAGTAAGGTCTTTAAAGAAAGAGTAAAGTAATATAAAAAGAATAAGCCACCAGGCAATGATGGCATAGACCATTAATCCCAGCACTTGGGAGGCAGAGGCAGGTGGATCTCTGTGAATTCAAGGCCAGCCTGGTCTACAGAGCAAGTAAACCAGGACAGGTTCCAAAGCTATACAGAAAAACCCTGTCTCAACCTCCGCAGAGAGAGAGAGAGAGAGAGAGAGAGAGAGAGAGAGAAAGGGAGGGAAAGAGAGAAAGAGAGAGAAAGGAATAAGCCATGTAAAGATGGGAAATACACAGAGAGTCTGGATCCTCTATAGTGTTTTGACGACTTTGAATTTTTTTGAATACTGTTGAATGGGCCGGGCAGTGGTGGTGCACACCTTTAATCCCAGCACTTGGGAGATAGAGAAAGGCAGATCTTTGTGAGTTTGAGGCTAGCCTGGTCTACAGAGTGAGCTCTGGGACAGACTCCAAAGCTACACAGAGAAAACCTGTCTTGAAATATTTTTTTAAAAGTATTGAATACTGTTGAATGAACAGCAGCTGCTGAAAGACATGGGATTGTAAAAGGAGCTGCAGAATTAAACCAGTCTAGATACCTTAGGGATGTCTTAACTTTAAAATAGGATTCGGAGAACGTATTCTGCTGGTGGAGAGGTTATGCTTTTGTTTCCATGGGAAATGAAAGGCTGTAGACTTCTTCAACATTCATAGAGACCAAATTTGACTGAAAATCTTGGTCACAGTCATAAAGAAATAAACCTAGGAAAACTACAATACAGGTGACGTATATGCTGATTCCTTGACTTGGGGACAGCTCTGAGACTGGATGAGACATGATAGATCTTGTTAGCTACAGAGTCTTCATAATTTATTATTACATGCCATAATTTCATATGGCGTGGATAATGGTTTGGACATACAGTCCAAATGGGCTTAATAGAGTTAACAGATGCTTTTTACCTGTTCACACGTAGAAAATCATCTTTAGCTGACTTGTGCATACCACACAGTCCATGCTTGTGTTAATACAGATATATATGTTTGTTTGTTTGTTTTTTTTGGGGGGGGCAGTGTTTCTCTGTAGCTTTGGAGCCTGTCCTGGAACTAGCTCTGTAGACCAGGCTGGCTGCAAACTCACAGAGATCTGCCTGCCTCTGCCTCCCAAGTGCTGGGATTAAAGGCGTGTACCACCATCGCTGCGTAAGATATACATGTTATCTTTAAAAGTTTATGTGTTGGGGACTGGAGAGATGGCCTTAGTGGTTAAGAGCACTGGCTGTTCTTCCAAAAGACCAGGGTTCAATTCCCAGCAACCATATGGCAGCTCACAACTGTCTGTATGTAACTCCAGTTCTGGCATCATCACACAGACACATATGCAGGCAAGACCCTAATGTCCATAAAAAAATAAAGAAATCTTTAAAAAAAAGTGTTTGTGTGTTTTCAGGATAAAGGAACTAGATACCAATGAAGACAAGTAACCCAAGTGATCCAGCCTCCAGAAGGCCTTTGTTGCGGGTTCCTCAAAATCCTGCATCCAGAACAACTTCAAAAAACTATCTGTCTCAAAAAAAAACAAAA